TTTTCACAAAACTCTGTCATGTTATTCCTTTCTCCTCCATTTTGCTTCTTTCATACCGTATGTATCTTGCTGTTGCTGTTGTTAAGTGTGGTAGAGTTGGTTCTGACTGAAAGGACACTGTATAAGGTTTCTGAGCACTTGCTGGTAGGTTTCACCTGTTGATGTTGTACCTAGCAGTACATATCCTACAGGTATGCTTACATACATACCAGGTATACTTGAATTTTAAAACATGAACATAAAACCTTTAACCTTTTATATTTATTACTTTTCTTATTTAAAGGTTTAACTTTTTGGTTTTAGATTTTTACTTAATATTTAACTTTTAAAGTTTCAAAAACATCACTTTTATCCTTTTTGTTTAAATACTTAAAGTTTTTACTTAAACCTCTAATGAATTTGTCTAAGATCCTTTATATATTTTTTAATTCTCTTTCTCTAATTTTTTTCTTTTCAAAATGTTTTTTAAAATATGCTTAACTTTTGTTTGAAATTTTTCTAAGCTTCTCAAATTTGAATGTTTTTTCTAAATCTAAATTTGAACTTTCATTCAATTCTTTATTTAGAATTCCTTTCATCCTTCATCATTAAACCTCTTAGCTTTCAAATTTCCAACACACATACTTTAGGCTTCAATTTAAAAATATTCCTTATATTACATTTACATGCATTTTAAACTTTAATTTTAAGCACCTCCTTCTTTATTGAAAACAGTTGGCATTCCATCCCTGGTGTGGCGTAATGGCAGTTAGAACCATGCTAGTGGCAGTGCTTTTTCCATATAATTATGCAGTCTTTGGTCATTAATGGACTAAGGATCTGTGAATTGGAAACCTCATTGGAGTTCTTGCTAAGTTGCCATCAGTGCTTTGGTAAATAAAGTACTCTGGAAGAGGTCAACTCATTAGAGTCTACCAGCATATATTTACAGAAGTAGAAAGTTAAGGGGGTGTGATGTGAGCTATGTGCTCACTCAGAACAATTAATATCATTGGGATTCATTGAGGGAAAGCATCTATAAGATTCTAGTTCTAACCCTGAGAGGTCTGAATACTGATCTTGGGATTTAGAAAGGAGGCGCATGACTGATCCCAGAGAGATTAAATGTAGTATCAAGCATTGTCACTGATAAGCAATAATATTGCAGGGATAGAAAAGGAAAGGCCACAAGTCTGAAGATAGGAGCTTTGCCTCAAGTTGTGGCTAGCAGTCCAGGTCTTATCCTACCACAGCACACCAGGTATGCGTGAATTTAAAGAATAATCATAAAATCCTTAACTTTTTAATTCTTACTTTCTTATTTAAATGTTTAATTGTTTTTTTGCTTTTAGATTTTTATTTAAAAATTTTTAAACATTTTTACTTTTTGTTTATAAAGTTTTTATTTAAACCTCTAATAAATTTGTCTAATATTCTTTATACTTTTAAAAATTCTTTCTCTAATTTTTCAAATGTTTAAAAAAATCTAACCTTTGTCTGAAAACTTTCTAAGCTTTCCAGTTTTAAAACTTTTTTTCTAAACTTAAATTTAAGCTCTTATTCAATTATTTATTATTTTAGAATTCCTTTTATTGTTCATTCATTTCATAATTAAAATGATGTTAATTCTGTAAGTTTACAATTTAACACATATTTCATTTAAAAATATTCCTTACATTGTATTTATTTTCATTTTAAACTTTCATTTTCAACTTTTCCTTCCAGCTTTCTTTATTAATTTTAAAAAACCTTCATTTCATTAACTTTTTTGTAAGTTTCAGTTTTAATCTTTTTATGTTTCTTGCTTTATTCATTGTTTTATTTTTATATTATATTTTTGTTATATGTTTAAACCGCAAGAATTTAAAGTTTTCTTTTAAAACATATTTTAGTACTCCTTGAACCTTTCTTACATTAAAATATTTTCAATTTTTAAATATCTTTAAAAATAATTATTTCTAAACATTTATAAATGCTCTTTTCTTTTAAACCTTTATACATCTTTTAATTTCTTTTAAATGTTACTCTTCTTACAACTTTTCAATGTTTCTTTTAAAATATTTTCTTTCTTTACAAACTATTTTACTGCTTACCCATAGTTGGAACATGAATTTTGAAACATTTTTTTGATGAAGGTATACTTACTGTCTGTCTTCCTACAACAGTTTTGTTGAAAAATATGACATATTCACATAGTATTGCCAAAACGCCTCCACTTCCACTCTCCTGACCTAGTTCTTTCTTTTTATTTAATCATCAACTCCCCCCGCCCTCATTTCTTAAGGCTGAAATGATCACTAGTTAGTATTCTTTTTTTTCCCCCCCTCCTACAGACCCAAGTTTGGCCCATGGTAAAATAGGTTCTTTAATTCAAGGTGTTAATTGTCATATAAATGTTGTCATTTTCCATTTCAGGTAGATTTGTGTGTCAATTTTTTTTTCTGGTAAGTAATCTGGTAAAACTACTCTTTCTCTAGGTTTTGTTTGTGATAGAACAGTAAATACCCTTCACTGCAGAGTAAGTCCTCAATGGTAGCTTTGGTGATGATGGCATCATCACAACTGAACCATTGGTCCTTTTGTTGTCGAATAAAGCTGGTATAGTGTCCACTTTCCAAAGTTCCATGGTGATTAATCACTGCAAATAGCAAATACTTATTCTCATTTGGCCCACAATTTGGTGGTGGGTGGCCTTCTTTCATTCTATTCTCTTTAGTGGAGGCCAAAAATGGAGTCATGTCTAGCTCCAAGGGAAAGGAGATGAAAGTATTAATCTTTTGTCTCAGTTTGCCAATGTGTTCAAATCTCTTGAGATGGAAACAGGCCACAATGGGTAATTTCTTCATTGTAAGTTGTTTGGTAGATTCCTGGTAGCTTTGGCAACTACTACATTTGATTTTGGCACTGCTTCCTAGGTGCTCTGGCCTTGTAAACCACTGTAGGCAGTCTGTGAGTGAGGGGGTTCCTGGTATGTGATCACCCTTGCTTACTGTGCTGTCAGTCTTCTCTGAGTTCTGGGAAGTGAATGTAGCACAAGAGCCAGGCAAGTCCAAACTGATGTCCCAGCATGCGTCAACTGTAGTGGAGACACCATAGCAGACTTGGCAGGTGACATCAGACTGTAAGCCACCTGTAAATATTTGGTCTATGATGCAATTACAGCAGTTGGGATTATTGGCTTCCTGCCCAACACTATCATCTTTGCTGTGTCTGTGAAGCACATCTAATATTGCAATAAGGAACTCATGGGCATCCTGTTGCCTGTACCCTGCTAAATGCTCTGCATGAATCCATATCAGGTGAAGTAATTTATAGGGAATGTGAGGAGTTCGGCTCCCAGAGTACATAGCACGAAAAAACGAAGACATTTCACAGACCAGACACAAGCTGGGGTTTTTCATTATACATTTGTGCTTGTCAGAAAGTAAGACATCTTTTAGTAGAGGAACGTGGACAAGTGCCTGAACAATACAATTCATAAAGCAAGTGTTTCCAAGATTGATTAGACCTCTTAGGCCTACAGTGTAGACTGATTTTCTTCTGTTTTTCTTGGGGTGCTGCAATTTTGGTTCCTGTTCCTTTGAATCACAGGTTGTTTGCTTCTCTTTAACACCTGATGCCACACACTGTTGTTGAGAAACACCTGTTGAGGGGGAAATTAGTAATTTCAAAATTTTCTCTTTTGTTTCTTTGGCAATCTGTTCTAAGTCTTTGTCATATACATAGTCCTTACACATAAAACAGTATATAACTCCACGATAGAGGTCTACAGCTAAATTGTGCTGTTTTGTTTCCGCATGTTTGTGAATATGTTTCTCAGTAAAGCATCCACAAAAGGCACAGGAAAGACAAGAGTGGAGTCTGTTTATATGGGTACTACATACACAACAGATACATGACTTTGCCTTACGTTCCCTAGTTTCCAGGGTCCCACTCCAAACGAAACGATGGTAAATCAACCGCAGGTTCTTCCGCCAGTTTTTAGCTGCTTTAAAGCTTTCCACGTGACAACAGCCAGTGGGACCCTGATCAAACTTCACTTTCAGCAACCAGTCCCATGAACTTTCTGGATTCCCACATCCATCTAGATATCCAGAACAGCCTCGTCTCCTCTGGGGTCTGGACCCTGCCTTGCATCTCTGCTGGGAAGTGCGCGAAGGTCGTGACTTGGGCTGGTGCAGCCTTGGTGGTGGTGGCTGCGACGGCAGAGATGGGATTGGGCGCAGAGAGTGGGCAGCAAGTGGAGGTGGGTCACAAGATCCGGAAGGACCTCTGGAGCAAGCTCTGGGCTGAGGTCGAGGGCGGGGCTTGCGGCGTGGGAAAACAGGCATGGAAATGCTATGACGCCGAGGTGCAGTTGAAAAGACCTTTTCGCTGCCGCTCCCCTTCAAATTCCCCTCAAGTTTGGGTCTAGGCTCTTCTACTGAATCCAGCTTGCACTCCTCAGCTCCACAGCCTGAATATGCCTTCGCTACTCCCACTGCCTCCTTCATTTCTCCTGCCTTGTTAGCCACCATCTCAAGTGAGGCTTCTCCCTCTGTTCCCGAGTTTAAGGGGGCCACTGAGCTGAAGGGCAAGGAAGTTTCTCTAACCTGGGCCATCAGTTCTCTGCCTGGCCAGAGGAGAAAGGCGTCTGGAATGGAGCAGCGACAGTAGATGAAAAGAGACAGACACTTCTATGAATGATACGAGTCCTGACTGCCCTGTGCCCTCTGCGTCCCCAGGACGCCTCCCACCCGCCTTAGAGCTCAGTCAGCAGCAGCCCTGGGCTCCACCCCCACTAATCCTAGGTTTACGGAGTTGAGGTGAAGACTGAGTCAGTTACCTGGTTTTAAAGCAATCAGAAAGTGTAGGGGTGAGGAATGCACAGGATGAGCCTCAGTTTAGGATGGAAAGTACTTATAAAAAGGCGCCACCCTCTTACAGTCTTCTCTGCACCTAGCGCAGTCTCATTTTCGTACAGCTTCTTCTGATGTTCTTTCCTTGTATCCCAAAAAACAGTTTGGTCAACATTTGACCCTAAAAATGACTAAAAGGAAAAGAAGCTCAGGAGAAGATGGCGTCACCGTGCTCCCACATTGCCTATGCTTCTGGGGCCGAGTGTGTTCCACCTTCAGCCCCTTGCCCCTTGCGCTTTTGTGTCCTCTCAATGCTGTTTCCTTCTTGTGCTACCATTCACACCCCTTTTCTTCTGTACCCTCTGATCCTTTCATCCAGTCTAGAATTCTAGTTCCTTCTCACACCCTCCACGCATTTATACCCTTGGCTTCAGAGTCCGCCCACTAAGTCCCTGGACCAGCTCACTTCGCCCTCGTAATTCCCCCAGCCCAGATGTTAGTGTAGAGGTCTGTGTTACCTTGAACTAAGGTGCGTGGTACAGGGCATCAGAAGCTGTCCACTGTCTGGCCACTTCTCAGCTAGCCTTCTCTCCTGGCCTCTCCTCAGGATTGGTCATGTGGGGACCACCCCCTGGTCCCTCCCCTTCAGACATATGACCCCCAGACCAGGATCCTGTCCTACCTCACAGACAAATGGTGTCGATGTCTCACACCAGCAGACAAACCTCTTTCTGATGCAGACTCTGCTGAAGGCACCAAGAATTTAGAATTTAGAGAAAGTCTTTGGAATGGAGCTCGAGCCTCACTTGGTGCCAAACCTTAGCTCCCAAGAAAAAGATTCATTGGTGTGGGAAGAGGGTGGAGGGGTTGTAGGCATGGCAGCTCCTGACTTGAATCCTTCATGGACCCTTCAGAATCTAATCTCTGAAGACAGATGTTACACTGGAGTGTGTGGGAGAAGAAGCATGGACTTTAGGCTCAGACGCACCTGAAACCAGGTACTGTATGGTCTCAGATAAAACACCTAACCTCTCTGATAAAACACCTAACCTCTCTGAGCCTTGGTTGTATATCTGTTAACAAAAATTGAAATGAAAATCCTAACCTGTTGTAAAACTACATGGTTGTTGTTGTTGTTGTTAAGGGCCGTTGAGTTGTTCCGACCCATAGCGACCCTGTATAGGGTTTCCAAGGAATGGCTGGTGAACTTGAACCTCCAACCTTAAAGTTCAAACCAACTTTACAGTCCAGCACATTGAACAACAGCGCTGTGTCCACTACATAGAATATTGGAAAAGACAACACCCTTCTCTTTCAAATCTCTGTCGTTGTTGTTACGTGCCATTGAGTTGGTTCCAACACATAATAATCCTGTATAGAATTTCCTACCAAGGAGCAGCTGGTTCTGGTGAGTTTGAACCACCAAATTTGTGGTTAGGATCCAGTGTTATTACTACAGTGCTATGTAACGTATTTTTCAGTTCACCCGACCATCCCTTCAAAACAGATAATGTACATGATGGCTCAGTCAACAAATGCAAAATGAACTACTGTGCAAGGTGGTGTTGTGAGAAAGAGTAAAAAGGTTTTTGTCCTGAAAGAGTTCATAACCATGGTGACTTTTCCTTTCTTAGCTTGAAAAAGCATCTAAGACCACAACTTGAGGCAAAGGTCTTGTCTTCAGACTTGTGGCCTTTCCTCTTCTACCCCCCAATATGATTGCTTATCAATGATGATGCCTGATACATTTAATCTCTCTGAGACTAGTCATGCACCTCCTTTATAAATCAGGATTCAGACCTCTCAGAGTTAGAACTGGAATCTTATAGATGCTTTCCCTCAATGAATCCCAATGATATTAGGGTCAAGCACTAATTAATCTGTTTAATTGTTCTGAGTGAGCATATAGCTCATATGATCTTGAAGACAAGTTACCCCTTAACTTACTTCTGTAACTGTAGGCTGTGAGGCTTCAATGAGTCAACCTCTTCCAGAGTACTTTATTTACCAAAGCACTGATGGCAATTTAGCAAGAACTCCAGTAAGGTTTCTAATTCACAGATCCTTAGTCCATTAACCACCAAAGACTGCATAATTATATGGAAAAAGCACTGCTTCTAGCATGGTTCTAACTGCCATTACTCCACACCTGGGATGGAATGCCAACTGTTTTCAATAAAGAAGGAGGTGCTTAAAATTAAAGTTTAAAATGCAAGTAAATGTAATATAAGGAATATTTTAAAATTAAAGCCTTAAGTAAGTGTGTTGGAAAATGGAAAGTTAACAGAACTAATGCATAGTTTTAATGATGACGGATGAAAGGAATTCTAAATAAAGGATTGAATGAAAGTTCAAATTTAGGTTTAGAAAAAAGATACAAATTTGGAAAGCTTAGAAAAATTTCAGATAAAATTAATCATATTTTAAAAAACATTTTTAAAAGAAAAGAAATTAGAGACAGATAGGGAATTAAAAAATATATAAAGGGCCTTAGACAAATTCATTAGAGGTTTAAGTAAAATCTTTAAATATTTAAACAAAAAGGATAAAAATAATGATTTTAAAACTTCAAAAGTAAAAAAACTAAGTAAAAATCTAAAAATGAAAAAGATTAAACCTTTAAATTAGAAAAGAAATAGATTTAAAAGGTTAAAGGTTTATGTTCATGTTTTAAAACTCAAGCATACTTGGAGTGGAGCTGTAGGATAAGCAGTGGGCTGCTAGTCACAAGGTCGGTGGTTCAAACCCAACAGCACCTTCTCGGAAACCTTATACAGGGTAGAGTCCTGGTGTAGCACTGTCGGTTACTGCACTGTTCTGCATAGTCGGCTTGAACCACAAGGTTGGAGGTTCAAGCTCACCAGCCACTCCTCAGAAACCCTATAAGGGGTCGCTATGGGTCGGAACTGACTCAATATTGTTGTTGTTGTTGTTGTTAAGTGCTGATCTTGCTGTTCAAACCGACCTTGCTATCCAGTGCTTATCTTACAGTGCCACACCAGATGTGTATATATATTGTTGTTAAGTGCCATCCAGACAGTTCCAACACATAGCAACCCTGTATAGGGTTTCTGAGGAGCAGCTGGTGAGCTTGAACCGCCAAACATGGTTCAGACTGACTTTGCAGTCCAGCACATTAATCCACAGTGCCACACCAGGATTAGCTTTGTGTTAAAACATAAATGGAATTTGGACAAAAATGTACACACACACACACACACACTTTAATCAACATCATACCATTCAATTGTGAGATCACTGAAAGACCTGGATACTACCAACCCACTTACCCTGCCAGGTTTCCTGCCTCATCTTATTTCTTAGGCAGAATCAGCTGCATCTGAAGAAGATGGAAACATTATGGACACATTCTCTTCTCCCAATTAGAACTGCATTAGTCATACAAAACCATACCCTCCCTCATGAAAGGGACTCTTGACAATTTTGTGGTTTAGGAAAATTGGATCAAAACTGTGAAGCTCTGGTTATAGTGTATGAACCCAATAGATGATTGAGGGAGTGTTAATGACCCTTATCTGAAGACCTCCCACTTTCTTTCCTTTCTCCCTCTTCTAGTTTGGCAGGAAAATAAGACCTTTAAATGTCCACAGTGGTGGTGGTGGTGGTGGTGGTGGTGAGGAACTAAATGTTTATGAGAACAGAAAGCCTCATCTTTCTCCCACGGAACAACTGGTAGTTTTTAACTGCTGACCTTGAAGTTAGCAGCCCAATTCCTAACCACTACGCTACCATAGCTATGAATTTATGCTTGAGAGTCCTTCTGCTCATTCCTTATTCCCTCTTCATTTCTTTATTCACTCACACATGCCCAATTTCCAGTGCCCTTCACTTACCTGGCGTTACCTACATCTCTGAACTCCAGGCTGCTTCTTTTACATGCTGGCTTCTACTCCTCCCTCAAAACCCATCTCACAGGACAATACACTTAAAGGGCAAAGAAGTAGAATTGAAGCAATGGAAGCCAGAACTAGCGAGCTGGAAGACAAATCTCTCAATATTGCTAAGATAGAAGAGCAAGTAGAAAAAAAGGATTAAAAAAATCTGAAGAAAGTCTAAGATTCATGTTGGACAACATGAAGAGGAATAAATTAAGAATTATTGGCATTCCAGAACAGGAAGAATCACACAAGTCCACAGAGGAGCTGCTGGAAGAAAATTTCCCTAAAATCCTGAAAAATCAAACAGTAGCATTCAAGAAGCTGAACGAACCCCAGGAAAGATAGGCCCCAAAAGAAAATCACCAAGACATATCATAATCAAGCTCTCCAAAATCAAAGACAAGGAGAGAATACTGAAAGCAGCTAGGGAAAACAGAAGTGTTGCAAAGGCAAGCAAATCAGAGTAAGCTTGGATCTCAGCAGAAAACATGCAGGCAAGAAGGAAATAGGGAGACATATATAAAACCCTTAAAGGAAAAAAAAAAAACTGCCCAACAAGAATCCTCTACCCAGCAAAGCTTTCAATCAAATACGATGGTGTAATCAAAACATTCTAGGATAAACAGAAGCTAAGGGATTTTACCAAAGCCAACCCTGCACTGCAAAACATCCTAAAGGGAGTTGTGTGGACTGAGAACCAACAAGAACAGATAACAACCAGAGATTGACATATGTGACAGCACCACTCGGAACTCAGTCGAGAATAGAACAAAACTATAAGAATGAATTCAGAGGATTTGGAAGGTCAGTCTATGATCAAAACAATTACAATGTGAAAGAAAGTAAACACATAGGAAGAGAGAT